TTACTTTTCCTGATTACTCTATCTAAAGTAGCACCACTTTTTGCCACTTGCCATCTCCTCAGCCTGCTATTATTATTCGTCAAAACATTTATCCCCTTCTGTCATGATGTATATTTTTTATTGTTTTATCTTCATGTAACGGCTTCCCCATCTCACCCCCAATCCCACCCAAATGTAAGCTTCCTGAAAGCAGAAACCTATTTTAGTTGTTGCTATATTCCCTACTCCTGGTAGATCCTATTGTCTGCTCTTATCCCCACCCATGCCTTTTTTTCTGCTGTTGTAACTATCACTACAACCAACGTCCTTGAAAATAAAACCTTATAGACATCCTATTTCCTTATAATAATGTCCTGGGTCTCCCCCTCCTACCTTAATTCTTAAAATTCTTACAGATTGCTATATGACTTGTCAAAAAAGCTGTACCATTTTCTATTTCTCGATGTGAAGAGTGCCTCTTTCACCAGAATATAAATGAAGAATCTCAACGGCTGTAGAACTTTACGTATACTTACCTGTGTCTGTCTATGCCACTCCCTTTGCCTGTAATCTCCGCCCCACCCTGAAACCAAAGTTTCACTTATGGTTAGAGAGAAAGTTGAGGAAGAGGAAAGAGCAAGAAGATATACCTGTGTTGATTATATCCTGATAAAGAGGCACTCTTCACATCAGGAAATATAAATACACATCTCCAGTTCTAGCTCTTGTTATATTTCCTGTTCAGATCCCTCCCTCAGCAGCCTTGCCAGAGCACACCATTCCTTTGTTTATACCATTAGAACCTGAATATATCTCAATTATTGTCCATACCACTTTACGTTTATCTACTTATATGTCTTCCTGCTGGCCTGTGAACACCTGGATGGTAGAGGCTGTTTTATTCATCTGTGTCTCTAACTTTATAACTAAGCACAGTGGCAGGCTAGACATGAAAGAAGTGGGCTATATGAATGGTGAAAAGAAACAGAAGATGGAGGACAGGCACCTAGCTGGCTGTGAAGTTTGTCTGTCAAAGTCACCACACCTTTCCACTCTTCTGTCATTATTAGTTCTTGGAATACATTACTATTTGTGGCCCCTATAAAATTATAGGCCTAAAATATACATTACAACTTACTCTGAGGGTGAACAAATCCAAAAGAAATTAAACTATTATGAAACCAAACCAATAATAATTTGTAATCAAAAAAGCAAGAATAGGGGCAACTAAAAACCCTAACTCCAGATGACACTGATGGAACAAAGCATCATTCCCACAAAATCCAACGGAGTGCCTGCATCGTCAGACTTGTACTCAGCAAACTTCAGTTACTTGTTAATTTCGGCTTAAAAGGCAAACTGTTAGTACTTCCCTTTATAATTTACTCAATTGCCTTTAGTCAACCTGAAATTGGGTGGCATTGGCCTATAAGCATAGAACTTTAATTTCTGAAACTTTCTGGGATTCTCTAGTGGGGCTGTACAACAAACACTGAGCAGCTCTGCTCTGATGTCCACTGAAAATTGTTTTGCACCTCACAGAGGTTTCTCAAGAAGCTATCCTTTCCTCCAAAAGTGGTCACATAAATTCATTCCAATTGTTCTCTATGGTTTCACTTCCCACATGCTGAAATCTAAGACTAATATTCAACACCATTCCTCTCAAGGCCCTTGTTTTTCCTCTTTGACCATACTTCTTCTACAAGAACACAAAATTTTCATTTAATAGTGTCGCTCCTTGAAATTATTTTCCTGGTGTATTAAATTCAGATTTATTA